AGAGTGACTTTCCTATCCAGTGTCCCACTGTCAGATACCTGCTCTGTCCTTGCTTGAAACTGCTCGAGGAGCTCCTTTAGGGAGAGGGAAACTATCTCGTTCAGGAACCAAGGTGAAAAAAAGCAATAAAAACTTATATCAAATAAAAACTTATATCAAACTTTTTTGGAAAGTGCAAGTGCACAAAGCCACGCCAACTGAGGTCCAAGCAGCCATCACTATGAGTGAGCCCATCATCCCAAAAGCCTCCAAGAAAGGGTGAGATGGTGATCTGACATCTCAGAGCTGAGTTGTGTATGTTCTCAGCCCCAAGACAGATGACTGCAGTAGCTTTTGGAGCTGGTGGCTCTTGGGGGTCCATGCCCTCAAGTGCCCAAGAGTTGGTGTCACAACCTTCTTTGTCTGCTGAGGGCTGGACATTGCAGGTTAAAGGACTTTTTTCTCTCTCTTCTTGAGAATACAAGACCAAATCTGTGTGGAAGTGCCCCCAGGATGTGGCTGGAGACTAAAATAAGGTGCAGAAGTAATGCTGGATGACAGGAAGGAACAAGTGTCCTTGGAGCAGAGCCTTGTGCCCTAGGGCCAGTTGTCCTTTTTGGGGAGGGGAAGGATGAGGGGTGGTGATGGAATTCCCCAGATTTTAAGCTGCATAGGGGGACAGTTAAAAGCACTTCTCCCTGCTGCTGCTCTCCATCCTGCTGCCACTCCTCTCCTGTCACACGGAGGTGCTGGATGGGGTAGGAATGGCAGTGAGGGGTGCCTGATGCCATGTGTGTAGCAAAAAATAGATGTGGCTGGACTGCAATGATGCAAAGTCAGAAGAATCCTTTCTCCTCCAATTTCTTCATCTTTGCTTTCAGTGCAGCTCCTGCTGGCTGCCAGTTGGCAGTGGGGCTGGGGGTTCTTCCCTCCACAGCCACTTTTTGGGGTGCTTTTAGGCTGGAACATGTCAAGGCTGTCCTTTTAAAAAATGGCCAGTCCTCAGTTAGGTCATCAATTCCTCCTCAGTGATGAACTATTGACAGTAAAGGGGGAGGGAGCTGCCATTTCATCCTGTGAGGTCATTGCCACTGGGAAGAGGTAGGAGAAAGCAGAGGTTTCTCCAGTAATTAGTGCCCACAGGTTGCCCTACTCATTTGTGACTCGTCACTCACATCTCCTGCAGGAGTTGGGTGCAATGTATGAAGTCTGCAATTACCTGTATGATCTCATCCCTCCTGCCTCTGATTTTTGTTTTGCTTTACAGAAGTTCAACAACCTTCTCCAGATGTTTTCCCAACCCTAGGGAGGTTGTACTCTTATTCCTAGAGTTTTGGTGGACCAGTCTTGCTCCTGATGGTCAAGGTAAGTGCATGTTTTGAGGAGGAAGACTTGCAAGCACTGCTACAGACTGGCTGGCAAGGCAGCAACTGCCTGGGGAAAGCTGAGGGTAAATGGTCCCAAAGCTGGTGCATTTCCCAGCAGGAAAATCAGGTCTTCTTCTAAGTGCAGCCCTGCAGGTGGGACACACAGCAGGATCATTCCTCTCTGGAAAGACATGCTGGCTGACATGGAATGAACCTCAGAGGTGCAGCAAGACGGACCTAAAGAGCAAAAAAAAAAAAAACCAGGAGGGAGGGTTTGTTTAGTCTAGTGGAGGTCAAGATAACGGGCTGGTGAGTGTGAAGGGCTGCTCTGAAACACAGGAGAAATTAGGGAATAAACAGGAGTGTTTTGTTGACCAGAGTCTGAAAGAGAAGGTGGTGCCATTCCTTGGCTGGAGGATTTGGGAGGAGGTAGGACACATCTGGGATCCTCACTGGCCCGAGGGAGTCCCAACTCCACTCCAAGCTCAGGATAAACTGGTCAGCCCCCAACTCTGTGTTATCCTGAAGCTTTGGAAAGCCTGACTTGCCACAGGCTGGTTGAGATCAATCTGGTTTCATTGCCCTTTTCTGATGGATTGGCCTTACTAGGACCTGTCGGGGCACTGGTTGGGGCTCCTGTCAAATTGATTCTTTTGGGTAGCCTGGCTGGGGCTCTATGGTGAGATTCCTCCTTAGTTCCCACAGCTGGAGCATGCACCAGGGGATGCTGGAGATGCAAAAGCATCAGTGGGATAACACTACAAATTAACTCCCCTACAAATTAACTTGTTTCCTTCACAAGCACGACTGAGACAGAACAGTGTTTTAATTATGGGAATGAGGGGGACAGTGTCAGTAGGGATGGACCAACAGCTCCTTCCCATCAGGCCAAATATTTTGCTGCCTCTCCCAAGATGATCTTGAAGTTACATCTAAGACCAGGGTGATGGTGCACGTGCCAGAGATGGCCACCTGAGGGAGCCCCAAGAAGCCATACCTGGTATATTGAAGCAGGAAAGAGAGTGGATCATTTCTTGGCTCTGAAAGCAGCTCTGTCAGGGCAGGAGTACCTGCCTCGGTGTGGCTGATGTGCTGGAATGGAAAAGTGAACCCCAAAATCAATTGGTTGAGCCCAAATGAAGGAGTTGTGAGGGAAAAGGGGATGTTTAGGAACTCCTGAGGTTCAGGAGACAGCTGCAGGTTGCTGCTCTACCAGGACAGTCACAGCCCTGTGCTCCCCATTCCCTGTGCTCTGTGCTGCACTGGAAACAGACACACTCAAAAGTGAGTTTCAAGTTAATCTGTTGGTAGGCCACCTTCCTGGCTGGCTTCAGGAATATTTTCTGATTCCCTTCCTCAACTCTTGCCTGCCCATACCCAGCAGCTCCTCGAAGGACACCACTCCCACAGGGACGATGGCCATGCCCAGGGAGATGCTGTGCAGGGACTGGAGCATCTCTCACCCTGGGAGAGGCACAAAGTGAGCCAGAGGAAATTCCACCTGCAGAGTGGGAGAGTCCAGCAGTGCAGCAGCACAAACATCCCTGGGTTTCCCTTTTCCCCCACATGCTTTTGGGAGTTTGTTTGTCCTGCTCTGGCCAGGAAAGCAGGTCAGCAAAGGGTGTTGCACATCCATGGGATTCCACATCCACCCTGGCAGATGTTGCTTTCCCAGCTGCCAGCAGATGCTGCTTCCCTGCCGGTTGGATCAGTGCCAGAGCTCAGGGGACACTTCCCCCCCCTGCCTGGTGCTGAATTCCTGCCTGACACACTGGCAGCAGGACACCCTGTAGAGTGCTTCAGAGGTGGTTCTGAAGCTCATCACATACCACAACCATCAGTCACTGCCGCTGACAGGGCAACATGACACAAGGTGGAGCATCTGAGCAGGGCTCCTGGACTGAGCGGGAGTGATTCAGCTCAGCAAACACCCAGACAAAGGCTCTCCCCACAAGGCTATGGCACTGCCAGAATCTAAAGCATTCCCAAACCCTGGATACAGCTTTGAAATGGATTTTAGGGTGCACCTCAGCACAAACAACACCCCCTCTTTCCCGTTGTGCCCCTCATGGAGGAAAAGCCTGCTCACGTGGAACAGCACACAGCTCCCGGGGACCTTCCCAGGTATTTCCATGCAGGGAAAGGGAGGGAGGATGTTCTCTGGCACCAACAAGACAGCAGATGAACTCAGCTGCCAGGAACTGCACCACCACCAGCTGCAAAATCCTCATTTGACTAAAACACATTCACCCAAGGACACGTGGGCTCTGCTCTGTCAGCACTGAGGGACTCAAAGGGAGCATAAGATTGTGATGTGGTTAAAAGAACCAAAGGTTGCCTGCTCTGTGAGGGACAGGTCAGCTCTGGGTGTGGGACTCTCCCCACCCCTGGAACACTCCTGCACCCACCTGTGAGGTGAGCATCAGCACCAGGGCCCTGAAACACACCAGACAAGGACCTGAAACACACTGGACAAGGAGCTGGCACGGGGATTTGGGATGCTCCAGGCACAAGAGCAGCACTACACACTCCCAGGGACATGTCAGTGGAAGTCCCACCATGGCCCTGGATGGGATGTTACTGCTGGGAGTTGAAAGTAATCACTGCTGAAACCGTGCTGTCCCTTCCAGACCAAAAAACATAGGTAAACACCTTCAAGAGACACCCAGCCTAGTGCTGTTGGCAGCTCCTAGGCCTCACCTCTTCAGGCTCTTGCTTGGTGCAATTGCACATTATTTGCCAAACTGCTTCTGAGAGCAAGAGGGAACAACATCTTCCACCCTACTCATTATTTTCTCAAGTCCAGAAATGAGTAGCCTGCTGATTCTACCACCAAAAATGTCCCCAGCATAAAACCATGTGGGAAGCTCAATGTATCTCCTACAGTAAATGGAAGATAAAGTCATTAGATCACAGATCTAACTGCAGAACTTTACTATCTAGTGTTTGCCCAAGGTCTCTGAAATCCGATAGCTGACTTAATAGCTGAAAAGCAAAATAAGCAATTCAGTGCTGATTTTAAAAAGGAGCAATGGGTTCAAAGGCACTTAATGAAGAATTTTCAGTGCAATTTAGCTTTAATGGGACAGCAAAGGCCTGGCTGTTCCCAAAAAGAGAGGGGATGGAGCTCAGTGTGAGCACTTGCACTAGGACTACTTGGGTTCTTTTGTGAGGCTGACAGAACTGCAGGAGTTTCCACAGAACAGAAATCTGGGGGTGAAACAGGCTTACCCCTTAAATCCCAGCCTATGATGGCTTTGGTGGCCCTTCTCTTCACAGCCAAGTACTAGCTCATCCAGTCATGCTTTACACTCTCCCAAGAAAGGAAGACTGCAGGGGATGGCTCCTCCTCAGCTGGAAGTCACTACAGAAACACCTTCAGCTCAGCAGCTCTTCAGAGACCCAAACCAGCACAGGTTTGAGATAGTGCTCAGAAAGAAATCATGATGTTACCACAAAAACCTCAACCTCAGTGGAACACCATGTGGACCCTGCTCCTTCCTTCCACTCCCATCTCCAGAAGAACACAAAGAAGAAACAGAAATCTCTCAACCTGGGAGTGAAGCTACTGAAAACCTCCATCCAAAGAGCTAATGAGATCTGAACTCTCAGCTTCTACTTGGCAAAATTAAGCAGGAAAAGAAAAGAAAAACAAACTTCTTTTTATTTTATTTTTTTTTTTACTTTTTTGAAAGCATTTCACACAGGTTGTAATCTTCAGAATACCTTGGAATCAGTAGAAAAAAACTAACTGAACAGTTTGTCTTTACAATAGAAACCTTTCAGGAGTCAAAATTGAGACTAAAAAAATAACATGCAAAACATACTCCTCTCAAAACACAACTTGAAACAAAGCACCAAACTACACAAATATGCAGAATGAAACAGAATTTAACATCACAGAAGTAGTCTTCATAAAAGGTGTAAAAGTCACCTATTCACTAGGCACTGTTCACTTGTTTCAACAGAAGAGACAATAAAAATATTGTCCACCAACTTGCAATTTTCAACTCAAAGGCTGTAGCTAGAAACTCCTCTACATGTCATGCTTCAATAACGACCTGAAAGAAAAAAAACACAGTTAAGACTTCCAAGGATTGGCAGGTTTTGAGGAACTGTCTGAATTAGCTGTCACCTCCCAAACCTCCAGTGAATTAAACTCTTATGATTTGTTAATGACCAAGTCCAGCAGTCAGTTCTTTTGGGTAGAAAAGCTCCAATTCCCATCACATGCCCAGGGCTGTTTCAGCACACAATGGGAATTCACACTGGAATTGTGAGTTTCCCTATGGATCAGTAAAAGCAGTTACACTTGTTTTCAATTGGGTCAAGGTGAGAACACAACCATCACAAGGGGAGTAGCTAGGAGTGCCATTTTGTGGTTTATCCCATTTTTGCCATCCAAATGCAGCTTTATCTTCCATGCAAGTTAAGCTGAAAGAAGAACTATCTGGACCTCAGAGTTGTGTAGAAATCTAGTTTCAGTGGTAGAGCATGTAAGGCTTGGGAATTCAGCCTTGGGAATTCAGCCTTGCTGTCCTAGAGGTAGCCAAATTGCCAGTGTACTACACATTCCTGTTTTAATATTCCAGAGAAATAAATGGTTCCTCAGACTTTCCAACAAGGGCAACAAGAGTTTGGTTTTTTTGCAAACTAAATATTTGCCCTGTCCTCAAGGTTGCCCAGTTGCTCAATGAAACATTAAAAGGGAAACTGTGGTTAAAAAAAATAAAAAAACCCCAATCACATGGAAGTCAAATAGTCTTTCTGGACACAAAAGATCAAAAGAAGTTTGGGCAAAGTGGAAATTTGGTTTTGATATGGGAGCTTTGTGGCTACTTACGAGGTGAGTAGGATCGAGATCTGGAGCGGGATCTGTAGCCCCCTCGGCTGTAGTAGGGGGATGGTGACCTCCTCCTGGGAAAGAGGGACAGAAACAATCCCTTTGTTATAGCCTGTGGCAGGTGAGCAGCACCAGCTCTGCCTGGATGCCTCTAAGCTGATTCTGCTCTTAGCAGTGTACTTGGGGAAGCTAACGAGCACATCCCTGCTGGGTAGCAAAGATTTCAGTTTTCCAAGTCTTTTAGGCCAGAGCAATGTTACTCGGGGCTAAAACAAGAGGTATCAGCTGTCCTGCATGCACATTTCGACTACCTGTGATGTGTTTCAAGCCAAGACCATCCCCAAAGGCACAGTGGAAGCTGAATCCCACCTGAACTTTTGAGCCTAAATTATTTGTTCTAGACAAAGAGCCGATTCGAGCAGCAATCACTGCTACAGGCAACCCCGATACCCCCAAGCTCAGTGTTTCCTTGCCTAGTTGCACTGATCTCCAAATAATAATAAATCCCCAAACATCCAGGACATTAACCTCTTGGCATAAAGCACGTTTTTCCTGCACTAAACTGTCCTTATCCTAACTACAGCCCTTTACATAGCTATGAGGGCACCTCTGAAATGAACTGTGGTGCTCACTAAAGAGCTGAAAGTGCTCAGCATCCACCCAGTTTCTGTTCATCTGTTTAAAGATCTCCTAGACTTGATTCAAATACCCAAAAATATCACCTCTAAGAGTATTTCCACTGTTGACCAGCCACTGTAAACTTCCCTGTCATACCTGTAAAACTGATCCCTGTCTTGAACAGCTCTCCATCCTCCTCCTCCTCCTCCACCGCCTCCTCTGTGAATACAAAAAGCAGGAAGACTTTTGAAAAAAATGTTCAAAAAACAAAAAGTTCCTTGTAGCAGCAAAAAGCATCACCACTAAACTGTCCTTATCCTAACTACAGCCCTTTACATAGCTATGAGGGCACCTCTGAAATGAACTGTGGTGCTCACTAAAGAGCTGAAAGTGCTCAGCATCCACCCAGTTTCTGTTCATCTGTTTAAAGATCTCCTAGACTTGATTCAAAGAATACCCAAAAATATCACCTCTAAGAGTATTTCCACTGTTGACCAGGCACTGTAAACTTCCCTGTCATACCTGTAAAACTGATCCCTGTCTTGAACAGCTCTCCATCCTCCTCCTCCTCCTCCACCGCCTCCTCTGTGAATACAAAAAGCAGGAAGACTTTTGAAAAAAATGTTCAAAAAACAAAAAGTTCCTTGTAGCAGCAAAAAGCATCACCAAGCAGAAGCAAACAAAGACAAGAGCACGCTGGTTCCTACACTGGGTAATGCCAAATTACTTCACCATGTAATTTTGATATGGTCCTGGAATGAGCTGGCTAAGCTCAGTGCCAAGAAGCAGTTAAGAGAGGACACTCCAGCTGGTCAACGTTCTAATTTACCAGGTCACACTCTCCAATGAGCAGCATCTTCAGATTCATCAGGTCTCCTTGCTTTAATTTTTTAATTTTTTTTAGAGTCTTCTCCACCAAGGTGCAAGTTGTTTTTATTTTTTTTAAAGGTTATTATTCTTTAGTTTACAGATATTTTGCCAGTCAAGATTAATCATTCCACGACAACGAGGAGAAAATAAATTTTAACATGACATTTCACCTGCATTTCCCTTAGGGCTTTACTGCAGAGAAGGCAAAGTAACAGTTACAATTGACTTTCTAGGGTGGAGTACTAGTATTTTTATAAGTCCTAGAGTTTACAAACATATGAGCCACTGCTCACTGTGTCAGGAGTGAAAAAGGTAACACTTAAGCACTAAGTACTTAGGGTCATGCCACAATCTCAACAAGGAATACATTCCATTTTCAGAACACACAAGCAATAGACAACAGACTTCGAAGACTGACCCTGTCCTATCAAGTGCAAGAAGACAGACTGACGGTGTAAAACTCCTACCAAACACTGCACAGCCTCCATCTTTTGCTGGTCCTTTGCTGCCTTTGCCATTTTGATGATACATCAGAACTCCAGAAAACAAATGCTAAGTGGGAGAAGGAAGCTGGAAGCACCACAGAAGGGGCTGCTCAGCAGGCCATGATGCAAATCTTTTGTGCTCCCCAACACTCTGTCCAGCTGCTTCAGCTCATTCACCCACTAGATCTCAGTTAATTACTCTTATTACATTAAGTGAGACAAGGCTACTTAACTGCCAAGCAAGTTTTTGTACCCTGTGCTCTGAACCAACTGGAAGTTTGGTCAAAGAGCCAGCCACCCCATAGGAAAGCCAACATTCAAGTGCTGGCAAAAGGAAACCAAACATGGCTTGGTTCTTGTCTGCTCAGTATCATCTTCAGATTTTAACTCCAAAATGGCATGAGACTTCAGTGTCAACAGCAAAGCAGGGAGGAGAGAAAGGGATTGGAAGCAAAGCCTGGGAAGGAGAAACAGTGGCTTAAAGGAGGGAAAGGAAGGGAGAGCTGCTCTCAGCCACTGACAACAACCATATCAAAGTATAAACATATTTACTTCCAGGCCTAGAAAACAACAGAAGAGCACACTGAAAGTTAAGGTAACAGGATTTATTACTTCCTGTGTCTGAGAGCTATAATGTGATAATGCAACTGGAATCCACCAGTTCCCAGGGTTGCCATAAATTCACGCACTGCTGATGCATTTAAGCTGTACAAGCCACTTAGGAAGAACTCTACAGAACTCAGCAACCACAGGCACGCTTGGTAATTGGAGGCTGCAAAAACAAACTCTTTCTGATTTAATAGTGTCACAGAAGTTGTGAGGACTTCACAGGGAACAAGTCTTGTTGGCAGTTTTAATGGAAAATGCAGGAGACAAACTTGCTCCATCAGTAAAAACCCAATTAGTACCAAGCATTTTTTTTCCAACAGATTTTGAATCCATAGGTCTCTGACAACATGCAGTGCCACCTGAACATTCACCCCTTTCAGCCCACCAATCTGCTGCTGAACAAAGAAATTTAGACTGAACACAGAAATGGGTGTGAGGCCTTCAAGTAACACATCCACCCCAACAAAGTGTGTTAAAAGATTTTTTAAGTGGAAATGTCCAACAACATTGGACATTCCTTATACTTGGCAACATTTGAGGTGCCATAATTATTAGGAGGGGTGCCAGTGACCACCAAAATCTGCCACTTTTTGTCTACATGCACTATGCTCAAGGCACTATTTCAATGCTAAAAGATGAACCAATGGAAGACTCTTAATTATAGAGCATCTAAGACTATAAAGAACATCCTTTGTTTTTCAAAACTTAATGCAGATTAAAAGAACATCCTGGACTAACTCAAGCCACAGGTTGAACACCACAAAGTATTTCACAGTCTGGTTTGTACCAAGCAGTAATTTTGGTAAAGATTTCATAGTAAGATTTCGGAATGACAGTAAGTGCAAGAATGTTTTGTCATTCATAGGTAGGATGAGCTGCTAAACACTGATTTAAGTAGAAATACACATGAGAAAGCAGTTTAAAAAGCAGAAAAATATTAGAAATCTTGCCTGACCTGTACGATCTGCTGTAATAGTCACGATCATCGTACCCTCTGTCATACCCCCTGTCGTAGTAATCTCGTCGTCGTGAGCTGCCACTAAAGCAGTGAAAGAAAATGACATTTCAAAAAACAGAAAATATGAACATGGTTGCAGTGATTCTCAGCAGGCACACAGTCAAGTATAAACCATTTTAACTGGGATATATTATTAGCTCACATCCTCCCAGGTGACACGTGAGCACTCCTTTCCCATCAGTGCGCATGGGAACAGAACTGCTTAAATAATCACTTTTTTAAAATGCTTGAACTTTTAAGACAGGTACTTTCCTCCTTGGTCTGCAACCTCTTAACCTTTTGATATCACAGGCACATGAGGAATTCCACTCTGTGACTACTCTTCACTCACTTTTAACTGTGAGAAAGCTGCCTTTGGAAGAACTTCCAACTACAAAAAAACTAACCTGCAGTCTCAACACAACATCAACTACATCACAACCAGTAACACAAAATCTTGGGGAAACAACTGGAAAATTACTTGGGAAAACAATTTGCATTCTTGGCACCTTAAGTCAAAACTGTACTCTTTGGGTAGGGTAAACTGCACCACTCAGCTGCTCCATTAATACTTGGTAATTCAGTCTTGGAAACTTGAGCTTGCAAAAGACATTCACATTGAAGGTACACAGGACAACTTAATTCAGAAAGTGTAAAAAAAAATAGTATTGAAATGTTTATTTAGCTCATGTCTGGGCTGTGTAGCCAGGTTTCTGCTGGCTGTCATCCAGGCTGACCCTAGATCAGTCAATGACAAGTGGTATTTAAATTAACCCCTCCTATCTCAAGAGCTGCAAAGATAAGCATTACTCCTCGGAGCTGCCCACAAGCAAGTTGTGGGTTTTTTTAATACTGAAAAGCCTCCTTTATCAGCAGTTTTTCTGGTTATTTTGCCAGATAAGCTCACCAGTGCAAGCACAGCTCTTGTTAAGGAGACTTAAACTTAATCAGGCATCAACAGTGAATTTTGCAATTCAGTTTCAGTGCTAGAAACATCCACATCGTGTACAGCACACAAGTGACAAGTAAACTGCTCTCAGAGCAGTGCAGTAATGCAAAGGCCTGATAGACTAGGAGAACACCACAAAATCAGCTCTCCTGGAGGTGTTACACAACTGTTTTTAAACAAAACTCAAGACAATTAATTGTCTCTCACATCCCTCTGGAAAAAAAACAATTGCACACAATAACTTACTAAGTGGGTCTTCCCATATAGATTCCAGGGGTAGGTGTGTGAGGTCTTTTTGTTATGGAAAAGTCCACCCGGATCCTTCTTCCATCCAGCTCCATTCCATTGGCACGTTCCTTTGCCTAAACAAGAGTGAGAAAATCCTGTGGGTAAGAACTTTATTACCAACACAAGTTTCTAATTCCTGCTTCAAGTATTCAGTCCTAAAATGGCTGGGTTAGGATGCACATGTAGGTTTCACTTTCCATTCATTTTAAGATGTTACAGGCCAGCTGGATATGAGCTTCAGTAACCACTGAAAATGTAATTTACACTGCATAAAAAGCTTGAAAGGAACATAATTTAACAACTGTAGTACCTCTAACATGATTAAGAGAAGGCCTTGGATATGCTTATGTAGGGAGACGTGACTACTCAAACGGGTAGCAAAGCATTTAGAAGTTAACAAAAGAGCAGTTATGTAGATTCAAGGTAGTTGTTGGGTTTTTTTTCCCCCCTCTTATGCATCCCCAAAACCTACTATAACCTTAAGCAGAGTAATATCCAAGTCATAAGTAAATCTGAAGTAAAAAAAACAACACAACCCACTGGGTTTTTTTCTGCCAAGAAGCAGGACATATATCCCAAGCTCCTACCTAACACAGAAGTCTTCATGCCAAACTTGGGAAAGACTAGAGACTTCAAGTAGTGGAATTTATGCAGAATATAAGCCTAGTTACAGCCCATGAGCACACTGCTCTCCAAGGGTTGGCCTTAGTAGAGAGCTCTGAACCTGGCATGTGCAGAATTCCCTGTTCATTCTGTAGCACTGAAGCCCAGATCCCATGATTTGTTATATGGCATTGACACTGCTTCAACTTACTGCACCCCTCAGGGGTCTCCATGGACATCTGCTGGGACCAAGAAGGCACTGTACATTTTCCTGGTCTTATTTCCAGAAGATTCCCTCTCCTCCCTCATCCTTTCAGACTCATGCACTAGGAGTCAGCAGAAAGCAAGACAGTGCTCCTACAGAGAGCTCTGAAATGACTTCCTAGTGCACTCTGAACATGCCTGTTAATACAATTAAGATCACCTGTGGAGTTAGGAGGGAACTCATCTCAAAATTACAACAGAGGGTTTGTGTTTCTGGTGCAGTCTACTCTATGGCTAGTCTGGAGTGAATGTTGGGAATGACACAGCAGCCTAGGCTGCACAAAGATCAATATTGAAGCCCCTCCACTTTCTCCTCTGGTACACACCAGCCCTCTTTTGAGCCACAACTGCCATTTATTGAGTTGTCAAGTGTTTTTTAGACCCCAAGAAGGAAGGTAACAGAAGCTACTGTGGACCAGCTCGCGATATGATTATTTCATACAAGCAAAAGGAATTCACTTTAAAAGGTTCCTGCCACTTGAAAGGTCTAATAGTGAGTTTCTCCAGGCTTTATCCTGTTACAGAGTATACATCCCAGCAAACATGCCACCCACTCTGTGCCCCAACCTACTTCCTTTGCATCCTCCACGTTTTCGAAGTACACGAACGCAAATCCCCTGGAACGCCGGGACTGCTGGTCATAGACAATGGAGACATCAGCAATTGGACCATACTTGGAGAAAACTTCTCTCAGATCTCTTTCTGTGGTGTACAGACTCAATCCAAACACGCCAAGACAACAATTTGGGTCAGGATTTGCCTAGAGGAAGGGATAGATACATATTAGAAGAAAAACAATTGTATGTGCTGTGCAAGGTATTTCACAAGTTGTGAGTCTCAGAGCTTCAAGGCAAAATAGTAACAAGAAGATGCTGCTGAGATTCAGGCTGGGTTAACTTGCTAACAGGCACTATTAAAATCAAACCTCCACATAGAAAAGCCCCCTCTCACAAAAACACACTGCATTTCTTGGAGGACTGTACAAACTATGCTTATAATACATATTGGATACTGTATTTACAAAGCTTTCCCTCCAAAGGATGTGACTATGGAGAGGCAGAAGTCAGGATCACATCATCATTTCTGTTACTTATCCATTTTTCCCCTTCCTTTAGCATGAACCACACTGTGCTCAGCCACCTGGGTCTGTAAAGCAGCTAAAAGCAAGCTGGTTTGCATGCTCATTTAATAAAGATACCATCAAAACAGCTTTTAATGGCATGTATTATTTTCCCAGGCTTTCTAATCAAGGAAAATATGTTTTTCCCTCCTAATTCTACCCCCTCCTTCACTGCACACATCCACTCATGTCTCACAGCAGATATATGACAATAGCCTGTGCTGGTAGCACTTCTAAGAGCATCTGCAAAAAGCCAACAAGACCCCCCCCACTCCACAATCCCTAGCAAGTTTCCAGAGAGCCCTGGTTTATCAAAAGCTGCACCACAATTAACCTCAACAATGTCTTGTAAGCAGACCTATGGGGGAAGCAGAACGTTTTTCTGGAAAACTCATTAATGGAGTGATTTCAGGATGTACTCAGACTACGTGTGAGTCATCTGTGACAGTCATACCCTGTTCCCAATGTGACGCCTGCGGGTAGACATGGGGGAGTGGCTGTGACTGTGTCGCCGCCGATAATCCCGACTGTAGGACCTACTTCTGGATCTCCTGTGAGAGCGGGAACGGGAGCGGGACCTTGTGTAGTGTCTACGGGAACTCCTCCTTGATCTAGATCTAAAGAGAAGGAAAAGAAAAAGGGGTAGTCATGTTGGGTTTGTCTGGGTTGATGAAGCCTTCAAAACCACAGTGGGTCAGCACCGCATGACTCAGTTTGAATCAGTTTTAGTCACTCCTCTCCAGGACTGTGTGCTCAAACTTTACAATTCCAGGATTGCTGATGATCTCAGAACATTTCTACTGCAGCACATGGACCTCAACTTCCCATTTTAGTTAGCCTTTAATTCCCCAATAGCTTTTATCTCTCTCTAAGAAAGCTATCTTGGTTTGACACACTACATGCTTAGAATATTCACAGCATGTACAGTGGCATTTAGGTAAAAATAGCTGGGGTGACTTATTTTAAAGACTTAACAGAAGAAGGGAACAGAAGTTAGTCTGCACAACTGCAGAGATGCACAGTTTTGCTTATTTAACACTCAGAATAGCACTGCTTTCACTGGAAACAAAATACACTTTTTACACAGTGCATAATTACAAGCACAGGAGTCTGGGAAATGCCCATGAAACTGAGCTTAACACAACTGAAGGAATTAAGGTGTAGTAGGTTTCTTTGCCTTCAGGTATTTCAGCAGTTATTTAATGCTAGCTAATCATGAAAGTTTACATGGTCAAACTCCAAGTGTGTTTAAGGTGCAACTGCTCACTGTTTTCAGTTCAGACCTCTTCAGGACAGTTCCATAAATGTGTTCTGACAGCTCTAGGCCCGTGGACATGAAGTCCTACAACACTCCAATTCTTTGTACTAAATAAACCCTTAGCCCTCCCAACACAGACAATCTTAGCTGGAAAGCTGGACAGGCACTGGAATGTGATGCCTGATTTTGGCCTGCTGGTAGCAGTCACTGAATAATCTGCATTCCACACAAGTACAAAGCAAATCACTGCAAGGCTAAGAAGTGCAATTAAGAGTTGAATATTTAAAGGGTCTTGCTCATAAATTGTTAATCTTCAGACTCTTTCTTGTGTCTTAAATGTCCTTCTTCCAGTTTGTGGAAACCAAGGTAGCAAGTAGTGATGGAGACCAGAGGCCACCATCACTGCACAGCCATGTGTCACAGTAATGTCACCACCACACTGGTGAACCAAGTTCTTAACCTGAACTTGTTTTTACTCCTGAGCATTTAACAGCTTCTTCCACAGTCAGGATTCCTCACCGAGTATCACCAGACAGCCAAACTGCACTACATACACTCTGTGCATTAAAGGTCTCCTCAAAAAAATGCCTTCAACCTTATCAGAAGTGAGCCAGCTACGTAAGTTGTCTTCCTCAACTTGAAATACATACTCCAGGAGAAATGACTACAGCATGTCCCATGAACAACACTTCTAACTAGGTATTTAGCAAGAAGAGATTATTTTTGGCAACAGAAATTTAAAAAAAAAGAGAACTTCCCTCAGGTGAGGAAGACAGTAAAGAAAGACAGAAATTATAAGAACAAGTTCAATACATGCATACAGCCACAAAATAAAAAAACACACTGAAGATAAACACAGAACTGATGTTGCAGGTAACAGATTCAACCCATTACACCAACCAAGAGCTGGACACTTCTAAAGCAGGTAATCCATTATGTGAGAGAGAAAGTCTTATTTTAAATAGGCACTGATCATACTGCTGCCTTACATGTCATACTGCCATTATTCTACTTTGCTGCAAAACCACTGCAGCAGAAAATCAAGACAAGAATTGTTTACACCTAGAATCAGACAAAGAAACCACGCTTGCTGTGCTGCTAACTTAAAAAAAAAGCAGATTTTTATATCAAGTATCAACACACACTAACTGACAAAAACACCAGGACACAGGTTCGTTCCCAAATCACAGTTTAATTTATAAAGCTGGTAACTCAAAAATACATTTGCAACAGAAACTGCCAAGAAATGAAAGTTCTCACAAGTTTACTGTTTAGGTGAGAGCCAGAGTTAGATGATCTGCCTGTGATTACAACTAAACATGTGATGGGTCTGAAAACCGACAGAAGTATGTTTGTTCTAAATATGTGCCTTGACACAATTCTGCCCAAAACTGCTAGAACACACTAACCCTGCAATGTAATTCCAGGATTTCCAGCCACAGGCATTTGCAAGACAGCTGTTAAATGCTCAGGAAGCCAGGGTAGTCATAACCTTCTATTTTTGTTCATCAAAATGTAAAAAGTCAGTTGCCAGGGTGTTATTTAAAGGGTGATTTCTTGTCAAAGTAAATTATTTGCCAGGTCTGTCCTAAATTCTAAATCTTGTATTTGCTTCTTCCAGCATTTTATACAATTTGTGGTTACATTCTACCCAGTATTATGGTTATTCTGCAAGTGAGAAACATGGTGCTTCAGAATCCCTGGGAGTTATGGATTAAGGTGCAGAAGGACATGCTGGGTCCTGCCTTGCTTGTTTTTAAAATTAAAAGCTTCCTGAAAGGTGCTTTGCAGTCTCCATCCTCTGAGGCTGTCAAAACTCAACTGGAGAAAGCCTGAAAACATGGGCTGTGCCCAGACCTGACTCTGACTTGAGGAGATTTGGACCTTGATTTGGAGCAGCCCTTCCTGAGCTGTCCTAGGAATCTCTCACTGACAGCAACCCCAGTGGTCACTCCAATGTCATACTCTATACAGCAGTATTACTCTACCAAGTATTTATTAACTAAATTGGACATATTGTTCTTGCACTGTAGGGATTCCCAAATGCACAGCTTGACACTTGGGACTGCAACTCAAGTACATAACCAACCCAAGCCCACTTCTCTGTTGGCAACATTTCACAACTGTTTTCCCACTCACAAAATCCTTTCAAACCCGTCAGTTTGATCTTGCAAGGAGACCTAAACACAGTATTTGACAGTTTTTTATATCATGGCTGATTCCCAATAGCACTCCAGCCTGACCCCCCAGGCTTTGGAAAGCCCAATTCCTTGTTTAGAGAAATAAAAAGCACACTGTGAACAGAGCAACTAGAAACCTCACTGCTGAAACCCACTTTTTTTTTTTTTAACTGAATGCTTACAATGAGTAAAGGAATTATCAACATTCATTTCTGTAGTCTAGACTCTTTTAAGAAAGCATCATTCACCCATTTATAGGTTTTGTTGCTTCTATGTATTCTTTATGAAATATTTACCTCTTCTGTGACACAACTGGTAAAGCCAATGTAAAGCATCTAACAGTGACATTAATAATCTTATTTCTAGACTAGTACTGTATTTTATGTCTTAATTATGTCTGTTAACCATTTGAAGAGAAATTCTGTGACTAAGCCCAGCCTGTCCAGCACAGCAGTATAACCACAGGTAATGCAGTGAATAAGGCCTTTGCATAGTGCACATTTGTGTTACCATGTAATATATACAATAAAGCAAGACACTTTCTCCACTAGTTTGGGTTTGGTTTGATTTGAGAGCTTGGAAAGCTGTCTAATGTTTCAAGCTTTCCAGCCTGTTAATTTTCAAGTTCAATAAATGTATATTTAAAAGGTCAGACGTCTGTTGAAATTCACACTTTTGTCTATTGTTTTTTGTGGTTTTTTTTCTCCATGGAATACACTGTTAGTTACTCCAGAAATGTCACAGCTTCCACTGAGAAAATGTAATATATTGATGTCAGCTAAAATGGATAATCTGCTCTTTTAATGGACAGAAAAACCAGGATCTAGAGTTCCTAGTGCTTCAAGTTGAGAAACTAGCCATTATTTTGAGACTTGAAAGTGCCCTCCCAGCTGTGTCAGCAGAGATACAAGCCTGTGTAGCTGACTGTGTAGTTTAGAAAAAGCTGCAAAAAGACAGAACTTGATAGTTGAGCTTTTCAGGTCCTGAAACCACACATGCCCCTTTGGCTTCCATGTCCACAGATCACCAGTTATCTCTCCAGCCAGAACTGGGCTAACACTGGACTCCACCTCTGACATCACCACCTGACTTGTTAAGAGGAGGAAGAGTTAAAAGAAGTCAACTCACCTGGATTCAGACCTGGATCTAGATTTTGACCGGGAGCGCCTGGAATCTTCCTTAGAGCGAGATCTTGCAGGGGTGTGTCTCCCCGACTTGCCAGACCCATGAGCACTTCCGCTTCTGGAAGCAGAACGGGATTCCTGCACGCAGATATTGAAAGCCTAATTTGTACACAAATTTCTCCTTTGCCTAAGGGCTGTAAACAAGCTCCAGTGAAATAAAGCGTAAATATTCATATCTATGTGTCCGGGCAGTTGGCATTAGAACTGCCTAGATTTTTAAGGTTTTTTTTTTTTCTTTCCCTGGTAGACACTTCTTTACCCTGCATATACTTTTGCTATTAAACAGATAATGCATGCATGTTTAGCAAAATATACAGGGACACATAAACAGACTAGTAATTACTTAGCGTAGTGCTTTCAGATTCCAGATTACTTCTTATCTTAACTTCATTTTTATTCCTTTTCTTCATTCTTCCGTTTCAAATTCTGACTTCTTTCATCTTCCCCACTTCACACAAATTGCTCAATATTCTACAAGTGGGACTTCTGGTCTGATAATTAGCATGCATTCACTTTCTTTTTTTTCAAATTTCAGCTTCACTTATTCCTGAGCTTCAAATAATTCTCATTTATAAAACTTGTCAAATGGCGACTTCCGCATTTTCCTTCTTCAACATTAACCTTAATAGAAAAAGAACAGGATGAAGAATATTTAAAAACTCCAGGATAAAATCTAGTGCCAAAACTGAAACTAGAAAAAAAATGAATGTTTTGTGGACTTTTACTATATATGCAGTTCAAGAATTGAATCTACCGAATGCCCTATTTTAAAAACAGATTCAGTCCATTCAGTTTAACTTAGCACTAAGCAACTGAATTCACTATTTACGCCTGGATTTAATAGCAAATGCACAGCGAATCAACTGAGTATCTACTCATGAATTCTAACATTAGGAAACTCAAAATACTTTGCACTGTCAGCCACATGCTTAGACAAAATCAACAAGAACTGACTTAAACAAGGTCCCTGCTGAGGCCAGAGGCGATTAACTGATCGATTAACTGATTAACTGCACTGCTTTTTGAGCGCAGGAAGCACAACCCCCTTGGTCTTTCAATAATGTACGATTCTGTGACTATTTGGGACATTCCTTGCAGTTCAGAAGGCCTAGTTGGAAGGATGAGGAGCACACTCACACCTACTCTGCCAGCACCAGTCTGATTACATAGGCAGGCTTCATGCTTCCAAGGAAATCTTCATTTTCCACCAACTGAAAATGCAACCGTGTAAAACACACACACTTCTCTGGAATAATACCCCATCTGCTCTATTATTTACTTGGAATCTTCTTTATAATGACATAGCCTAACTAGTATTTTATATATATATTTTAAACCAATATAATGCTTAATTTCAGTCACATGGCTTTAACACTTGGTTTGAACACACTAGATGGTAGTCTTTATTTCAAGATACTAGAGAAAAATTAAAATTCAGCAAGAGAATTCTATTTTTCCTAAAAGCAAACAATTCTAAATGTTTGGCCAATTCTGATTTGAGAGCGCTCAGCAACAACACTGAAGTAGCAGATTTTTCCTCAAGATTTTTAACATCTCTTAAACCAGAACACTCAACAGGCATTCTGTACGAAGCATACAGAAATTAATTTGCTAACCCAAAATTTAATTGTGCTTAAAGCACTTCCATACAACTTTAAATCAAGTTTAACTCTTTACAATTGCCTATCACACAATACTGGGGGGATGGGGTGGGACAGATTTGCAATGAATACCAAGAGCAACAGAAATAAAGCAAAGTTGACCAAGTCCAAAGCATTTAAAGAAGTTTTCTAAACAACCACCTCATATATTAACCCTACAAAGGGCAGTGCACATATTGAGAACTAATTTAAATTGAAAAGAACAAATTTAACCTAAACCTATGACTACCTTCATAAGAAAGCAATCTATGGAGTTCCAAGTGAACGGATTAATTTAGCTGTAAGAAGTCTGCAGCTATTAAAGACAAAGCAAGATTGAAGAAGGACTAAAACCAAACTTCAGGCTGTTCTTCCTTGGAAGGAAAACACTTTTGTTCACACAACATAACTCTCTTGGCAGATTCAGGCTAGACAGAAGGAGCCATATCCACATACAGGTGGTCTAGTACCGAAAAAGGACACAAGGAATGCACAATGGGAAGGAAGCAGCAGGGAGGAGCTTGCCCATAAGCCTACTTTTAAGAGTTTTTAGAAGTCAATTAAGCTTTGAAGAAATCAGAGAAATGGTATTAGCATAAGCACATGACTGAAGCCTTCATCTATTTGATACATATTTTTTTTTTAAGACAAGCTTTGCTACATTATGATAAGACTGATGAGGAAACTGGCTGGACTGGCTTTTTTTCATCTATCTCCTTTCCACTTTTTGAATACCCACATTTTGTTTCCAGATCATCCTTCTTCAAAGCTTTATCTTCAAACCACCACATTTTACAGGATTATGTCACTTTTTATTACTTCCAGCCTCAAAGGAATTCATTGGACTTCACCTGCTCTGGGCATTAACTACTAAGACTGGCAATAACCCCTAAAGTCAAAGCTGTTCCCCTCCTCACCCCAACCCCCAGGTCAGAAAAGGATTCCAGACTGTAAGGTATGAGGACCATGCATTCTTTCAATTTCTGAGGTCCAGTTTTGACTCACGGAAGTACAAGTTACAGATTTCAGTTACGTAGTAAGATAAAATCATTAGCACTTTTTAATCCTAGATCCCTACACAGTTACGTATTTACACCTGTTTTCCTAAAGAAAGGTGCAGCCTCAAACTACACATCATCACATCTGCAGTCATATTTATTCAAGGTGTAATTGTGTTAATTCCACATTTCCTTCAAGGTCTCCATGACTGAACTTAGCAACTGATTCCACAGAAAAGAAACAGCTTTTGCCTTTCTTTCCCCTGAAGCCAATGATCCCAGATCAACCCACAGCTGGGAAGGTAGGGAATCCACTCCGAGGGAAAGTAGAATGCCCTCCCACACCAGTTTCCAAACTCCTCTAAAGTAAAGTTTCTTGGAAAATCAAGCCAGCAGACCATGAGGATGAGAGTCCAGCTTCCCTCCACCTGCACTGACCCTGTGGACTGACTCAGCACACCCAGCTGGCAGGAAACTCCATCAGCAAAAAGTAAACCATTTTCTGACAGCTTGGGTACTGCATCAGCCCACCCAGAGGTCAGATCAAGGGCCAGCTGAGGAAGGAGGAACACAGAGAAGGAACATACCCTTCTGCTGGCACCAAGCTATCAAATTGTTTCTCACCTTCTCAAACTGCTTCCTCATGCCTTCTTCCACAACCCAGCAATAAAATCAGCATTTTGGAAAATGATTTTATATACCTTTTTTAATACCTTGAAAGTAGATCTAGAAATTGAGTATTTATACAACTTACTCTGATTAAAAAATCTAACTAAAGTCTGACTACCATATTAGTTTCTATTCAAACACATCCTAAGTATTCACTACAAACTAATTCAAAGGATGAGACTCCCTGTTTTTTCCTTTAACAAGTCTTATTTCAAACTCCTCCATCCCAGTATCACACACAGTTCAGTGAGCACGATTTCCATGAATGAAAACAAAAGTCCCTTTGAAACATGTGAAACACTGGAAGTATCTGAACTATACAGCCAGTATTTGAAACACTAGTTGCATGTTATAATCTGTAGTCTCTTCAGTTAAAAAGGTTCCCAGAATTTAGTATAATCTGTAAAAGAGAAAATTACTGGGGATTTTTTTCTCTTTTTTCTTTCTTTCTAAACTGTGACATAAGCCACATGCTGCTGACACAGCAAGTCCCATTATTTGTGAAAGCACCTGCTGTTTCTTCCTCATCTCCAATGCTGACACCAGGATTTGTGACTACACAATCAAGTTAAGCCTGCAAACCAATGCAGCTGTTAATGGAATCATAAAAAAAAACACACCAAAAAAACCAGCAAATTCAATTCCCAGATCTGACTATACAAACAAGTTCAAGGGAGAAAGCAGGAACACATTTTCAGGAGCACAATTCTTGTTGGCAGCATGGACTTGGAACAGCTTAACAGACAGTTGTGAAGTCATATCCTAAATTATTTATCCAAACACTATTTCTATTCTGCAGAGACTTCAGTGCTTCCAGCTTGAAAAAAAGTACAAAGCCACTGACTCAGATATAAGCCTTAAGCAAGCAAAAAATACAATAAACACTGGCAATAGCATTAGAAAAGCCACTCTCTGATCTAGTCTGAAGTAGCAGGCACTTAGCTCCACGTTTTTTTAGTTTGACAAATATGTACATTGCAAACAACTTACCTATTCACCATTGCCAAAAATTCAGACATAAGTCATTTTAAGCTTTAGTGAAGACTGTCTGCACATGATTTATATCTTTTATGAAAGTATTGAAGAGAGAAAATAGAAAAGCAGGTGGGAAAGCAACTGCTGTCCTATCATACCCTGCACAATTAAGGTTTCAAAAGACTTTGTTATAGAAGTTTAAACATTTCCATTCCCTTTCTGATTGAGAACACAGATTACTCTGACAAACTTTAGTAAAGCTAGGCTGCCATCTAAACAGTTTTCACTCTACAATTACTTCAAATTCTTAGAAAAACTAACACACACAAACCCACTTTGAATAAATCAGAAGTAACTCTCCCTCTCTAGAAAGACACCAGTTGTAAAAGTGATAGAAAGACAACAATGAAAGGTAACACTGGGGGTGGTATGATTTTTGTTAATTCCCATCTTTCAGCATTCATTTCCATCCAGCATTTTTAACCTAACCTACCTTTAAGTAGTAACACTCATACTATTAAAGCTTGTTATAACGAATCTGAGTAAGAAAAGGCCCTGCAATACCTCCAGTGAAGGTTTAAAACTTAAACACTTATTACCTCCACAATTTCATCTACACTGCAGTAAGTTAAAAACTTACAGACTGAAGATAAAAAAAAAAAACCGAAAACACAGCAGTCACCCCTGTGCTGCACTTGTCCGTTGCAATAAAAATTAAACACCTCAAAGGAAACCAAGACAAGAAAATCCAGCTACAGGTAACCTGTACTGCAGATACACATGACAAACGTGAAGCTCGGCCAGTCATCTGCTCTGATGTTAGTAAAATTCTGTCCATATTTTGCAGTAACTATGCAGTTTAAGCGGACGCCTCCTGTAGGTTTCACAGAGCTGTTGTTTGAGGTTTAAACCTTCGACTATTGCAAGCACACTTAAAATTACAGCCAAGCCACTTGGGTGCGAGGCTGCAACCGCATCAAGAAGCAGAGTGAGTGTTTCACAAGCCAGCACGAGGAGAAGCGAATGGAAGCTGCAGTTTAGGTTGCAATTCCCTAAAAAGCGAACCGACAGTAACAAAGGCTCCGGCCACCGGAGCCTCGGGCTGTTCCTCCCCTCCCAGGGGCTGGAGGACAAGGCACCACAGGGCTGAAGGGCAGCACTGCTGAGGGGAAGCGGAGCTGCCAGCGCCCGGTACA